TCAAGGGGTCACATTCGAGATGCCGGTAATTTCAAAGACCGCCAGTTCATGAGACGATTCAGAAACACATTCACTCGACGATCCTCCCGTACGGTGTACCTCGCTGTAGCAAGAATTCCCCATTAAATTGGTATCTCTGAGCTTTTGTTGTACCTTTTACATTCCAATCATTTTAATAAGCCCCCACCCGAAAACTCCCTTTTGGTATGCAATATCGAATCCCTACGAGCTTTCCGCCGCCTGCTCCGTCGACGCCTCGCCCTGGTTCGCGGCAGGCGTACTCGACGAGTCCGCCGCATCGCCAGCGGCCTGGCCCTTGTTCCGTCTTCTGCGCTTCTTCTTCGCCGGGCCTTCTCCCTCTCCCTCGCCTCCATCTGCGGCGGCCCGCGCTTCCTTTGCTTCCTTGTGCGCCGTGTCGCCGCCGCTCGTGGCCTTCTTCGCCTTCTTGACCGCCAAGGGGTTCGGTCCCTTGCGTCCCCTCTTCTTATCCTTCTTCTTCTGCTCTTGAGCAACTCCTCCTCCTCCTCCGGACTTGCCCTCCTTTTCGCTTTCATCGTCGTCGTCCTCATCATCCTCCTCGCGCTTCCTCTTCCTCTCGGGCCTGACGAGCCCGTCGCGGAACTTGCTCTTCTCCTCCTTGGTCCTGATCGCCACGCTCTCCGTCGCCATGGGCTCGAGGATCATGACCGATCGCTTAATGTAAATCTGCGGGACACCCGGGATCTCGCGAAGCATGCGGCGCACGTCGCCTGACTGGCTCGCGACGCAGTAGCGGTGCTTGTTGACGAGGTTGCTCTTGGGGTCGACGACGGCCTTCATGCATTCCATCGTGCTTAGGGGTTCCGGGTAGTCCTCGGGCAAGTGGCCGCAGCGTCTCCGCTCGAGCGTCTTTGCAAAGTCGATGATTTTGTTCATGTCGGGTTCGTTCTTGCGCAGGTACAGCTTGCGGATCTCGCATTGTGTGATCACTGTGTGCGTCAAATAGTCAGCCTTCGAAGCACTCGTCCTCATTCCTGATGTTTAATCGTCGGCGTGCTGTATACTCACTTGGCTTGACCTTGCCGTGCAGCGTGCGCTCCAGTCCGGCGAGCAGGTCGTATCTGAAGTTGTGGCAGTCGACCACCATTTCAGCGTCGACTAGACATTGGTACGGTTCGCGGAATCCCCATGTCAATTGGTACTGGTTCATCAGCTTGCGATACTGTTTGCTACGTTTTCCACGCATTGTGAAAGTATGGGTGGCGAGGGGAAAATGCCCTTGCCGTCGAACGGGAGGTGGTTTGATCTGATCAACGCAGCAAAGACGGTGGTGGAGGCAGATGTTTGCGTTGAAGTCGCGAAATTTCTTGCTGGAAAAATTGCGATAAGATAAGAGGTCTGGCCCATGAAGGCCGATCTAACCCCACCATGGTCCGGCCACGACCTTGCGCAACGTCACTTGAGGAAAGGTATCATGGATTTTCTTTTACAGAAACGAGCATCGCAAACGCTTCCATGCGAGAAATCGCCAGATATTGGTGATATGTGTTCAATTAGCGGCAAACTTTGCACTATCCATGGATTCCTGTGAATATCAAAAGCCAATTAAACGCCAAGTACCTCCCAAAAGATGGCCACTGTCATCCCGACTCGGGTAAGGCGTATGCCATAATGATTGCAGCCTGCCCCTGCGGGACCTTTTCCGTAAATTCTATTTCCCATGATTGCCCTATTTCGTGATATCGCCCTCCTCATCATCATGCATCCTGTTTCCTCACGAGCGCAGCCACGACGCTGATGTCATCGAGTTTGCCTGTTTCCTTTGTTAGCCTCAGTGGAATATCACGGCCTGGCGGAGCCGATAACTTACCTCCAACGCTTGGTAGCCCTTCCTCAATGGCATGCTCCATAAACGGGCTTTCCGCGAATGGATCCGTCGCAATCTTCTTCGCGGCCGCGACCAACTCCTCGGCAGCGAGCTTCATGCCCCCGTTTGCGCCCCCCGTCCGGTCGCCCTCGACTCTGTCGCCCCCGCACTCCCCATTCTCCCAGCGTTCTATGCTCTTCTGAATGCTGTCGACAATCTCGTGCTCCCACAGGTTGTCGATGACGCCGTCCGACATGGCGAGGACCACGTCCCCGACCTGTATCTCCACAATGTCCAAGACGGCTTCCGTGTTGGGGGTGTCGGGGCTGTTGGTGCCCAGCTGGCGGGGGCAGTCGAACCAGTGCCACTGTTCCTTGGTTTTGTAGACGACCTTCTCGTGCCTGGGTCGGAGGATCATGACTTGGCAGTCGCCGAGATTGGTGACGTAGACCTGGGGCACCTTCTCGCTGCCTCCTTGCAGGGTCTTGTAGTGCAGCAGCGCTCCGCTCGCCGTCGTGGTGCCTTGCCAGTCGTTCGGGTCCGAAGTCGCTTTCAGGGTCTGCTCATACGCCGTCTGGAGATAGGCTACCGGGTCGGGCTTGTAGACGTCGCCCGCGGCGCGAGGGTTGGTGGACTCTTGCTGAATAGCTGTCGCCCAGTAATGTAGAATCAAGCGAGACCAGAGGCTATTACTCCGACATCAATATTGGGACGTCCGATCAACGGAGAGGGGGAGGGGGAATATAAAGCACCTACCCAGCATGGCCCCTCGGGCGTGTTGACCAAGCACCGACACCATCGTTTGCACAAATGAAGTTGTCGCTGGCAAACACCGCATCGTCTCCGTTTGTCTGTCCGAGGATGATCTGCCCGTCTACTCTCGCGCGCCGATCGCGGCTTCGGTGATGGGTACTGAGCGGGTCGGAAAACGAGCCCGACGGAGGGGAGAGGAAGGGCGGCGGGAACGGTCGCGGCGCTCGCTTGGCGAAGAGGGAGACGCCGGTCTCGAAGCGGAACGGTTGTTGCGTCTGTGGTGGTGATTTCTGCTCGGAAGAATTTGCTTGCGACGGCGGCGGCGTTGTTGTTGATGTTGTCGTCGTCGCCGTCGACAGGCAAGCCGCCCTGCTAGGTCGGTATCGCTGCGGCCATGATGCTGGAGATGCGCCCTGAGGCACTCTCGGCGGCCGCGCTTTGAAGGGGGGAATCGCCAACAAGGGCCCGGGTAACCTCCTCATTCCCACGTGTGAGGCAGACAAGGCGCCTTTTGCGATGTTGGATCGCAACGAGACGAAATCGCTGGGCCTGTTGCCGTTATCTTTTGGCGCTGGAAGGGTGCCGCAGGAGTGCTGGGCATGGCCGGGGGGTGGGCTTCGATGTGTTGGTTGGGGGCTCTCCGAACCGGGGGTTAAATTGGGGCGCTACACGTGCAGGCGCGTTTTGGTCCCAGGCCGGTGCATTGGGCACTGGGCTGCAGAGTCGTAGCTGGGAATTAGGAGCTCTAGGCGGCCGTAGAGGGCTGGCACGGCTGGGTAGGTAGGTGCAAAAACTCTGAACTTAGGTAAGCACAGTCAAAACACCCCCCACCTCTCCTTTTTGTCACCAAGAAGCCCAACATTTAGGTCAACACTCTGTAAGTAGGAGCATTGGTTGAGCCACAACATGCTGTTTCTGTAAATGAAGTTCTCACAACTAGGAGCTCCCCTGTCCCACATTGACCGCATTTTGAATAGAAAATTCCTTCACTAGCATCACCCTTCACAACACCAGGAAAGCAAGCAGCACACAAACAAACTACAAACAGAACTGAAAATTTTCTGACAGAAAATTCTTAAAGGGAGTGTAGCGTGGCGGGCTCCTGATGGGGCTGATAAGTGGCAATCGATGCAACTGCAGAAATTGTTCCATGTAAAAGCCGAGCACGCCGGCATTGGCATGTCGTAAGAAAATCTTAGCCGTTCCGTAGCTTGATCATTAACAGGATACGGAGTAATAAACCCCTTCCCTATAACCTCATATCGCTCTCACTCGTCTCCGTCGGCATTTCCGATTAGATAGGAACGCGATGCACGTCCAGTCCCCTGAACTTTGAAAGGCAAACTTCCGCCTCGGTGCGGTCCACCGATGCAAAAACCTGGAAACAGGCTCTGAGGCTCCTCTGTCATCAACAGATCGACATTCGCGATCGACAATAGCTTGGCCCGGTCGAGGTGGCCGTCGCTCAGCTGCAGCCTCTGCGGGTGTAACATAGCTAAAATAAACACCATGGCTGGTGGCCTGGAACAGGATGGAAGCATGGCATTGGAGCAATCTGCGTCACACTCGAAGCTTGCTGCGTCCATTGAGCATGCCGAAATCGAGTAGTCATTCGTTGCGTGAGGGGAACAGGATCTTTCGTAATATATACGAGAAAGTAAGCAGGCAGGTTGTGCAGGTTCAAGAAGCTGTGATTCTAGAAGTTTGCAGCCATTGCCGATCTTTTCTAACAATAACCTCCGAACCACACAAATGTCAAAGGAACCAAACATACGCGCACAAAACTGACAACAGTTCGGATTGCCTTCTTTTGACGAACCGTGTGGTCTTTTGAAAGTCTTTACTTTTCGCGCCACTGCCTCCCTACTTGTGTCTAAGACTGTAGAGAGTGAATCGCGACGCCCGAGACATTCAGTTAGAGCCATCAGGCCTGCAATTAACTATGGATATCATTCACCATGTCTCGCCCTTGCAAGATATCTGCTCGGTACTCACGCATCCAAGAGTCCAGACCAGCCTTTCTCGTGAACCGCGTATCCCAACTCAGCACGGTCTGTGAATTTCGGAGATCGGTAGGGATAGGCTTGGAGCCCCGTTCACGGCTCACGGTTCACCGGACATGACGTAACGGGGCTGACGCAAAGTATTGACACCAACAGGTAAAGATGGTAAGGTGCGCTCACTCAGCAATCGGGAAGCCGGGACTATCGAGTTTAATGAGCATACGTTGTCAGTGAGGTGAGCACGCCTTGATTTGCTTCAATAATCTTTTCATAGTGTTGTCACTGCCCACAGTCGATCAACGCGCGTCGAGGAAGGATCTGCCCGAGCCGCCAACGAACCCGTCCCGTAGGCCGGGAGTTGTCTCATTTGGCGCCAAGCTAACCGGAGAACTGGGCGCTTACGTCAGCGCAGTTCGTCCATCGCCAGCCTGTCGTATCTGTGCCGTCCACCATTTGTACGGCACGGGTAGAGCTCGGAGGAGCCAGACTCGATAGGTGGTGACTGAGCCCTGGACGTTGCATTGCTTTAGCTCATCGACACAGTAATAACCCAGTGTAGGCGGAGGCTGGGAATTTCGTATCCCGCCGTGTTTTTGCTTCGTCTCGAGCTTCGGTCTCCGACGTGATTGGATCAGAAAAGCCATATTCAATAGGGCGGAGTTGTGAAGGGTAAGCGCTTTCGTGGAGAAGCCCAGAAAATACAAGATACCCTCAGATACCTAATTCGATTCGTTTTCGCAATTCCACAGCCAGTTGCTGTTTGCCAAGGGCCCGACATATGACACTCGCCTTCCGGTTGGCTTTGCCAATGTAAACGTCCTACCACTACTCCATACACCTAGGCTCATCTTTCACCACTCTGGACTTTTGTGCGGATTCCGAGTTCGCCTTGCCGCCTTTCAGCGGAGGGGTCGAAATTTGACTGCTCGGGGCGGGACAACAACCCTTGCCCCCGGCCGCATGGCAATGGATCCCAGAAGAGGGGGGCAGAATATTGACGCATGCGGGAACACAGGGGCCCTCGTATGGACCCTTCAGTTCGATTTCCTTCAATGTCCGCGTTTTCGGAATACCTGCGTGAACTTTGCTACAGCGGTCAGGAAGCGGGCAGCGCGCGGCGGAGGAGTCTCAGAAAGCGGTCGACATCGACCAACAAGTCAATGACTACGTACGTGGGCTGGATCTGTGGGAGAGAGAGAGAGAGAGAGATGGAGCCACTCGTCCGATGTCATTCGTGCCTAACTTTATGCTTTGAATTCGTACAGATGATGCACAGAGCAGTACAACATCCTTGCGTTCTGGTTTGGAGGAACCTATCAATGCATACCTACCAGCGATGACGGGGGGAGAGAACGCCCGGTCTGGCGGTTTCACATCGGACACAATTCTGACGGCAGATCGCACCGGAAGGCAGTGTAAACGGCGGCAGCAAGCCCTCCCCTCCAACCAAACGAATGGCCGGCCGCCGCAGCTATGTCGCTGACTGTTCGTACGGATACGCTGTAAGTCTGTGTCCCGTACCCGTACAATTAGAGAGAAGAACAATCAAGAGAAACAGGGGGATCACGGCCGGCGTCAACGGCCCCTCTTCGAACCCTTGGGAGACCCCCTCTTCTACTCCGTACGGATACACACGTATGGATAATGGATGTCGATGCCCCAGCTCTTCGGAGTACTCGACCCGCCCTGGGAGGACCCAGTTTGTCTCCTTTGGCGCCAGCAACTCAATGAGGCAGGCGCATCAAAGTCGGCGAAATCATGCCATGCTGGACAAAATCTGCCCCGGAAATACGTGTTGGCAAGCGGGCTCGCTGCGTTCTCGCTCCGAGATTGAATAGGGTCACTTGGGGTCCCTGCGATCGTGGTCCACGGGTTGGTCGATTCCTTTGGGTTACTGACCCTCAGCTGGGGTTCCTGAACAACCACGGAAGAGGTGGCAGAAAAGCCCAGGAGCCAAGTCGGCACTGGAGTTCCTTGGATACTTTCTTACTTTACAATTGCCGCCGTGTTGTACGTCTCACAGACGGACGGTATTGGGTATGTCTTGCTAGTGGGACGCGGACCTCTGAGAAGTGAGGACAAGAGCGGTAAACTCAAGGTTACAGATGGCCATGAGGCCGTGTTGAAGTGTCTTGTAATCGGGATCAAGAACCAACCTTGAACCAAGACCTCCGGCAAAATGGCACTCTAATGCTTGAGGTCACCGATAGCCAGGGAGTTTAGCTATAGAGGAAGATACTAGGCATAAGTAGATATCTGTATCGACCTAAGCACTAGACGATACAGGGAAGGAGGAGCTTTGTCGGATAAGGTTCCTCAAGTACCTAACCACACGTGGTTCATCGGGCCGGGGAAAGACGCTGTAGCTTTGGAAGACTATTAGATTCCCTTCCGTAACTAAAAGATCATGGAGTTTAGAGAGAAGCCAACATTACTTGTAAGAACTGAAACACAGTTCCCGGCCGACACTGGAAGATCGAGTAGGACCTTGTGATGACGATAAGATGTTCCTTGTTAGAAAGTGATGTTCTAGTATGGACTTATGGCGAGTCGCGACTGGGTGGTCAGGACGGATCGCCAAGCCAGCAAGGGTAGGTACACTCTCCCTCCCGCGACACTGGCTGATTGCAGCTGTTTGGAACATGTCTCCCTACGGAGTACTTTGCCCACATTACAATTACCGTGCTCGTAATTCCATGACCACCATTGACTGTCATGGGCATGCGGAATTCGATTCTGAAAAAGGCATACGTAGCGGTGCGAGGCAGGCCGCGAGGCAGAGATATCATGTCAAATCTCCAACGGAACTCGCAAGGGCGACCGACACAAGAACCGAGACCGAAGCGGACATTACTCTTGCGGTGACGGCCGAGCCGGGTGGTTCTGTCACTTTGTGAAGAATAGCGGCGGCGACGGCGGGCGGCGGGCGGGCATCTGACAACTCAACTTGGGGGCCCAAACAACAATGCTCTCTCTCGCGAACGTGACACCCGACAACCCCGATCGCTTTCTGCGGGCACCGCATGACTTGCGATCCTCCGTCCCAAAGAGAGATAGGCTACGGCTACTGGTTACGGAGAGTACTGGCTCTCCAAATCTCCAACCACTTTACTTTTTTTTTTCTTTGCACAGCCACGCGGGACTCAAGACAAGTGCGGTAGGTGAATCAGAAACTCCATGGTTAGACTAGCTCCGTATGTCTTTATGTACAAGTTGCGACTTTACTTCGGGATGCACGGAGTTTTAGCCTGGACGCCCAGCCCTGCTTCCTAGCTACAGCCTACAAGCAAGTGAGCAGAAGCAGAGCTTCCTAACAGAAAGCGTTCGGCAATGATTTGCACCGAACATATGATATCTTCAGAATAGAGACAGTCGAAGAAGCCAGTGAGCAGGAAGAACCTGAACCATACTGCGTAGGTCTGTCCGTTTCGGTTCATCCCCCCCTTTTGGCCCCCAAAACCTAACCCAGCCTCTTTTTTCCAAAACCTGAAGCCCTCCACGTTCTGGAACAAGACGGTCAGGTGGTGCCTTAATCCGTCCCAAGTAGCCCCAGCCCACGCGCAAGAGCCACGGCGTGTGGCCCAGGGGGAGGATCTGGTGTGGACTCGTGGATCGGGCAGGTGGCGCATCTCCCGGGGCTCTTTTCTTGCCCCCTACAACGGCGCATCATACTGTGGTAGACCGTCGAAGAACCAAACTCCCTTGCCTCTACAAGCAAAGAGTTAAGACGAGACACTGGGAAACGAGGTTTATCTATACGAAAGAAGGAAAACACACAAACAGAACAGTTGAGAATAGTCCAGTAGACGCAAACAGGAGTGTCGGAACAAAGACTACGGGATATCTCTCACCTCGAACTTGACAACTTTCACACCGCATCGAAAAGAACGGATACATTGTCCCGAGATATCTCACGGGTAATACCTCTTGTCTAGGCCACCACCCCAACCCCAACAGCCTGCCCCGGCACGGATCACGAATACACCGGCGCCTGCGCTGTCAGATCCCTAGTCCGCTACTAGTGCGCCTTACCTTATTCACTCGTACGGGTCGACTGGTTAGCCAAGGAGTTGCGAGTTGCAAGCTAGGCGTCCCGACCTCGCATTTATTTCGTTTGGAACCGCCCACCTCCCCCATCTGCCTGCATGCAGTGCTCCGGTCGGTCCTCTGCCAGGCGATCGCCTCATCCACCCGATCTCTTTCTCTCTACGTAGAGTCTTGTCCACTTGCGAAGTTGTGTGGGTGAGAGGGAAGGCGTTGCGCGTCCACCCACCCCATTACCCCTGCTTGGGAACAACAGTGGTACGCTAGACCTACGGACCGCCGTACCCTGGCACGTTTTCTTCTCGACGAGCTAAGGTATCGACAACTGCAACCGCTGTCCAGTTGCTCGCGAGTTGTCGAACTAGTGAGTTGGTAATAACTCGCTGTTGTGTACGGAGTACGGAGGGAGTATGGAGTAGCGCCGAAGCCACTTCCCATTGCGCCGGCGCCAGTCGTTTGGTTCGATTCGAGACTTCCCGTCTTACACGCTTTTGCGCCCTCTGTTACATCCTATTTTTTTTTTTTTTGCGGCTCAGCTTGTCGTACCTAGGCGCCAGACAAGTGTTTACGACGAGACCACTCAAGGCACACACAGTCTCGAGGACCGAGTCGGAAAATGGCTGGGCTGGGCTGGGCTGGGGGGGGGGGGGGGCCATGGGGAAAAGAGACTAAGAATGAGCAGATGCCGATGCACGCAGCAACGCATCCCATCGATCCCGTCCAAAAGAGCACAAAATACCAAGACCCTAAGCCCGCAGAGCCCGGATGCTGGCTCGTCTTGGCAGGCCAAGGGCTTGGATTTTCCGTGTGTCTCTTGACGAGTCGACGGTCAACCTCTCTGAGCCCCGAAAGGCGGATCAAGGAACCTTGACGTGCTGCGTCGTCCGGCTCATCCGCAAGCTATTGAACTTTTTGGGGCCGGGGGAGAGAGAGAGAGAGGTAGGTATGTATCTGGAAGTACTTTTTGACCGCATTCATCGTCTCCTCTCTTTTTTATTCTCCATCTATCCAGCCATTTACTTTCATGATTGAACAGTATACGTAGGCATGTGTTATCCCTTGCAGGAAACCCAAGAGGAGTCGGTAAAGTGAAAGAAATGTCTTGGCTGCAGCTGGAGCAACAGAGACAAACGAAAAGGAAGTCAGAAGAAACAAGGAAAGGGAATCAAGCACAACCTGAAAAGTTTCGAAAAAACCGGGAGGTCGAAGAGGCTAAAAAGACAACCGAAGAGAACTAGCAACGTACCCCAAAGGCCCAAGGTGGAAGGCCGGCTCATAGTGTTCTCCATAAAGTTCCCACCTCACAGACGACAGTAGTGACAGTCCACAATCAGATAGTGCGGCGCTTGTCGGGGGGAGACTAAGCACCGCCGACACCGAAAGAGTAGCGGGAGAGACAGAGTCATCAACATCATCATCGTCGTCGTCGTCGTCGTCGTCGTCGAGATCACGGCCGCCCAGCCCAGCCCGAGCGACCGCCAGAGCCTGTGCGTACGCAAGGACGGCAGCAAGGTAGACAGCACAGCAGACCCCCCGGCATACCCAACGCCATTACGTCGTTCGGGCTCTTGTTCCCGGGGGAAGGGCCTTGGTGTGTTGCTGGTCGTGGTCGACTGTGGCCGTGCCTTTGCCTTGCTGTGCCTGTGCCTGTGTGCCTCACCTTGCCTTACCTTTGAGCTGATCTTTCTGGTCTGGTTTCTGCTGGACCGGGACCTTGACCTGGGAGTCTGGGACCAGCTGCCAAACTGCTGCTACCTTGCTGCAGCGCAGCCGACTGACCTGCGTGACGGTGACGGTGACGGTGACTGGGTACGAGAGAAGAGTGAGGAAACAGCAGGTCGCAGAAGTAGGCGGTGTTGCTAATTCTTGTTGCATAATACGCCTCCGTACGTAGGTACCTCACTCACTCCCCGTACTCCCGGAGGTACTCCCGTACTTGGTACACCTCTCAGAGTACCTCTCAGAGTACCTCTCAGAGTTCCTCTCAGAGGTACGCCTCGTGCTTGGGGGTCTTTTTTGACACGTTCCCGTCGTTTCCATGCTCTCTCCATCCATCCATACCTACCTTACCTACCTTACCTTGACACTCACTCCATACTCGCTCGGGTACGGATTCATACATCATCTCGGGGATTCTCCTACCTTTTTCAGACTTTCTTCCCTCTTTCTGTTTTCCTGGTTTCTGATTTCCTGGTTGTCCTGCTCTTCGATTCGTCTCGTGTCATCTCGAATCTCTCTCTCTTCATCGACTACACTTAACCTCCCTCTAACACCAACAGCGCTGAGACACGTACATACATACAGACAGACGGAACCCGAAGATGTCCATGGCTGAATCCTAATCGCTGCCCGTCCCGAAACTTCGTTACTTGTTCGCCTGGGTCCCTTTATTCGTTCCATCATCCATATTAATTCCACCTTTTTTGTGCTCGCCGCGCAAAGAAGTGTGTGCTTCGTCGGTCAGTCGGATCTTAAGATTACCTTAGAGACCGCGCAACCTCCCTCCCGGCCGCCGAGTCACCCGTAATCGTACGGATACAGCACCGCGTATTGCGTACTGCGCACAGCTCGTCCGGCCATTACATCGCATCGCATCCACTACCACCACACGATAATCTTAAAGCCGGAGAGATCCACGAATCCAACGAACGACCTTCGGTCTCTCACTCACCCCGATTCGTAACGTCCCCCCCTACCGAGCATTCAGAGGAATTGCGCTAGTCCCAGGGCCGAAGCTGTCGATTCCGAAACCCTCGAATCCCCGAATCCCTTCCCGCGCGATCGCATCTCTGTCCATTCCTCGCATCCTCGTCTCGACGGGCTAGAGGGGGCCTTGTAGGCTTGTCCTGCTCATCCAAGACCAATCTTGGTCGCGCACGGCGCAAGTGGTTGTCTCTCAGTAATTTGGTTGCATGGTTGCTGGCTTGGCAAAACGTCGAGCAAGGCGTCAAGCAAAGCCGCAAAGATGGGCCGTAATCGAGGTTCGTGCTCCCACATTCCCTTCTTCCAGCTCTTGTCGCATAGTCTTCCCAAGTTCCCATCTTGTTAGCCTTCTTAGCGCAAGTTGCTGCAGTTGGCACCCCCCCCCCCCTTCTTCCCAAGTTTCCCAGCCCAGCCCAGTCCTTGCAGGCTCGCACCGGACCATCATGCGTAGGAGGCTTTTTTGGTTGCGCGCTGGCGCGTGTTGCTGGCGTGCATCCCAATCCTAATATGCCCAATATCCCTTTTACTGCGCAATGCTGTTGTTTGGCGGCATTTACATCAAATACCCTTGCCCGGCCTTGTTTTCTGTCCACCGCTGGTCCTGGATGGCTTTGCATCACCAGAATCCTGAACCATCGTCCTCGCCATTTAACACTCGTCTCCTGCCTCTGTCTTCCCTGCCGCTGCCCGTCCGCCCCAGTATCGCCCTGCTCGGCCATCCTCACCATCCGTCGTCCTTCTCGCTCGTCCACCGGGGACCCCTCTCTTCCCCTTGCGCTCCTCCCTTCGCAATCCCCCTCACATCCGCTCACCCCCGGCCAGTTGGTGGTCCTGGCCAATTAGTCGGGTACCGGGGCGATATTGTTACTTTTTTATGACCCAGTGGCTTTGATTTTTTTTTTAATTGCCTGTATTTGGTATCACTGAGGTGTAGCTGTGTGGATTCGGAAGGAGACACAGAGAGAAGAGAGAGACGCGCGCAACCATGCTGACCAAATCCGCTTCCATGGGCACCACAGTCCTCTCATTCATGTCCCAATTTTCTGCCACTTCGAGGGACGGCAGCAAGACAAACCAGCCAACTCCCAATTCGTCACCTCCCCCCGACGCGGCGACACCTTTTCCTCCATACAACCTCAAGTCACACCCGACTTCAAATCCACCAACAACACAACATCAACGTCAACAATCTCAATCCCAAAAAACAGAACCCTTTCCAGAACCGCCCGCCAGTTTCGGCCAGCGCCCCGCAACCCCTACTTCGCCCGCGCGTCCACCATCCGAATATGCGTCATCGCCCGCCAACGGAACTGCCAACAGCTCGCCCGTAAATAGCCCTAGATCCGTCACTGGCCGCCAACGCAGCTCCTCCCGCCCACTTTCGATGGTAATGCCATACCAGCCGCCCCTCATGGATATCAACGAAGATACCATTCCCGAGCTTCAGCCCATCTTCACTTTCCTGAACAGCCATGCGAACAAGCTGTACCAGGAGGGCTACTTCCTAAAGCTGGACGACCAAAACACACGTGAGTATTATTTTTTTTTCCCAGTGCTTTTTATTTTACCTTTGCGCCTGCAGCTACCTGAGCTGGTGGTGGTGACGCGCATAACACTCGGACCCGATCACTGACCAAATTTACAGAGGGCAAGCCCAATCCCGACCGCACCTGGACTGAGTGCTTCGCTCAGCTTGTCGGAACCGTATTGTCACTATGGGACGCCGCAGAGCTCGATGCCGCTGGCGAGGACGGCGAGATCCTCCCCAAATTCATCAACTTGACTGACGCTTCGATCAAAATGGTATGTCGAGCCCCGGCGGCCATGCCCCAGCCAGATTTGGCAGCATTGGCAGGTACGACGGTGCGGGGGATGGAACGAGTGCTAATTTACCATGTCCTTGGCGTATAGATCGAATCCCTACCAACACGATCGAATGACGAACAGCCGCTGCAGAATATCCTCAGCGTCTCAACCGCCGGCAGGAACCGTTATCTGCTGCACTTCAACTCGCACCATTCACTAATACAATGGACTGCTGGCATCAGGCTCGCTATGTACGAGCACTCGACCCTGCAGGAGGCGTACACCGGTGCCTTGATCGCCGGCAAGGGCAAGTCTCTCAACAACATCAACCTCATCATGGATAGACAAAAGTTCAAGACCGAGGAATGGGTGCGTGTACGATTCGGCGCCGGAGTCCCCTGGAGACGGTGCTGGTGTGTCATTTCTCCCCCCGACGAGAAGGAGTATGCAAAGGCCCAGAAGGAGATGCGCAAAAAGTCGCCTTACGATCGTTCCACGCCGATTCTCAAGGGAGACATCAAGTTCTACGATACCAAGAAGGACGGCAAGAAGCAAAAGAAGGCTCGCCCCATTGCCACCATTACCGATGCCTACTCTTCCTACGCCATCTACCCGCAGGCCAAGTCGCTGATTGATGCATCAACGCTCCTTAAGATCGAGGGAAACATCACCATCCACTCTGACCCGCCGTCGTCCACCGAGGGTTTCGTCTTCATCATGCCCGAAACTCACCCTGCCGTCAGCGGCTTTGAGATGCTGCTGCGCTTCCTCTTCCCTACCTGGGATACCTTCTGCCTCTACGGCCGCCCCGGCAGACTAGTAGCCAGTGTCCTCGACCCGAGATCACTCATGTTTGCCATGCCAAAGCACCGAAGATACGGTTACCTCGAGATTCTTGACGTTACTGGATTGATCTTGGAAGAAGGCAGCTCAAGCTGGTCGGAACGTGATTGGAGAAAGAAGCTCAAGGAGCTCACTGGTAAGAGAATGAATGCGATGGATGAGTCCCAGGCCACGCGTCAAAGAAGTGGAAGCAAGAAGAGCAACCGTCTCAGCTTCGGCAATGGCACCTCCAGCCCTGTGCCGGCCAAGCCTAGAGTCGGCTTTGCATCTGATGCCATTTCAAACCGGTCTTCTCGATCCATGTCACTGGGCGCACCCAACCGCTCAGAGAGTACACCTGTCACGACTTCTCGTGCGCCTCCTGCATTGGCTGGTATCATGAACAAAGCAAACCATGCACGCAACTCTTCGGACCCTCATCTGCTTGGTCACACACCCCAGCGCCCTGAGGACCGTGGCTACGACAGCTCCTACAGCAACTCCTACAACAACTCACCGGCACGTTCGCCAGCCAGAGGTCCCTCACCAGCGCGTGGCCCGCCCCCGGCGAGAGGTATTCTTCGCTCAGGAACCCAGAGCTCTGAAGAAGACACAGCTCGGAGCACACCGGTGCGAGAGATTGAGGGAACTGTGCGCCAGATGGAGTCGCCCGAGCCTGTTGCCGCTCCCCCTGCATTCAACTACGGTCCTAACTCCAAGCCTGCGGGCAAACCTTACCACTCTCCAGATCTTCGCAGGGCTACCACTCGATTGTCAAACACTACCCTTTCCCAGTTGACGAAGGCAGGAGGATTCGTGATTCCCCCCGATAGCCCATCTGATGCGTCGTCTGAGCGGAGGAGTGGTGAGGATGCTGCGCCATCTGGTCCTTTGGTACATCCTCAAGCTTATCCCGACCACCATGTAGGAGGCACTGCTAACGATACAATGTCTCGTGAAGCTCTGACCCCTAACCAAACCCCTCCTCCCTCCGGTGGTCTGCCGCCCCCTATTCCGCCCATGAACCAGAAGCGTTCCCGATCGCCCCTTGCCCAGCAGACGTTCGGCCCCCCCAGCCCTCACCCTCAGGGCCCCTTGCCTCCCAACCCTCAAAGTCGAGGCCCTCAAGATGCGAGACCCCCTCCCCCTCCTGAACACTTGGAAGGCCTTGAGCAGATGAGAAGCCCAGTTGAAGGACATCCCCCTCAGATCCGTCCTCAGCCGTCGTTCAGCAACTTTTCGCGACCCGATGGCACAAGAACCCCCCCCTTGGGTGGACCAGGCCGAGTGCCTACCCCGGAAATGCGAAACCGCGGCATGAACCCTCAGGCGATGGGACCGCCCCCACCTCCGCACGGTAGAGACCCTCGAGCTCAAGGCCGCGGTGTCCCGCTCCCCGGGATCGATACGAACCCCGCCTTCCAGCGCAAACCGTTGCCGACTCGATCGGACAGCTTGAGAAGCCCCCAGCAACAGACGCCCATCTCGGCCTCCAGCGGTGGCAGTTGGGGCAACAACATTATCGATCAGGCGGGATTCCAGCAAATCCAACCCCGCGACCCCAGACAGCGGACACCGGTCCCCGAGCAGCAGATCAACAGAGCTCAGACGCAGAGGAGTGATGCTAGCTACTACGACGACGCATCGTCAACTGCGAGCCCAGACTACGCTAGCCGCAAGTCCAGCGAGACACAGCGCTCTCAAAAGTCTTTCGAGCGGCCCAGAGCAGGTGTTTTGAAGACCGTGGGCGGCGCCGACTCTGACAATGGAGAGTTCGCCATTCCTGATGTCAACTTTGGGCCTACCGTCAACTACGGAGCCAATCAACCCGCAAGAAACAAGACACCTACCCCCATGACCTATCAAGCCATGCCCGGCCCTCAGCGACCATTCTCCCCGGCGGCCATGAAGTCTCCTACTGGCAATGACCCCAGCCATAACCGTCAAGAGTCTG